TTTTGCACACGCTAGACCCTTGTTCTTTTTATTTTGCACACGCTAGGCCCTTGTTCTTGCTATTTCGCGAACGCTAGGCCCTTGTTTTTATTTTTTGCACACGCTAGGCCCTTGCTCTTGCTATTTTGCACTCGCTAGGCCCTTGTTCTGGCAACTTTTCACAAGCTAGGCCCTTGCTCTTGCAATTTTGCACACGCTAGGCCCTTGTTCTTTTTATTTTGCACACGCTTGGCCCTTGTTCTTTTGATTTTGCACACGCTATGCCCTTGTTCTTTTTATTTTGCACACGCTAGGCCCTTGTTCTTGCAATTTTGCACATGCTAGACCCTTGTTCTTTTTATTTTGCACACGCTGGGCCCTTGCTCTTGCTATTTTGCGAACGCTAGGCCCTTGTTCTTGATTTTTTTGCACACGCTAGGCCCTTGCTCTTGCTATTTTTGCACTCGCTAGGCCCTTGTTCTTGCAATTTTGCACACGCTAGGCCTTGTTCTTTCAATTTTGCACACGCTAGGCCCTTGTTCTTTTTATTTTGCACACGCTAGGCCCTTGTTCTTTTTATTTTGCACACGCTAGGCCCTTGTCCTTGCTATTTTGCACACGCTATGCCCTTGTTCTTTTTATTTTGCACACGCTAGGCCTTTGTTCTTTTATTTTGCACACGCTAGGCCCTTGTTCTTGCTATTTTGCACACGCTATGCCCTTGTTTTTTTTATTTTGCACACGCTAGGCCCTTGTTCTTGCAATTTTGCACAGGCTAGACCTTGTTCTTTTTATTTGCACACGCTAGGCCCTTGTTCTTGCTATTTCGCGAACGCTAGGCCCTTGTTTTTGATTTTTTGCACACACTAGGCCCTTGGCTCCTGCTATTTTCCACTCGCTAGGCCTTGTTCTTGCAATTTTGCACAGGCTAGGCCCTTGTTCTTGCAATTTTGCACACGCTAGGCCCTTGTTTTTTTTTATTTTGCACACGCTAGGCCCTTGTTCTTTTTATTTTGCACACGCTAGGCCCTTGTTCTTGCTATTCTGCACACGCTATGCCCTTGTTTTTTTTATTTTGCACATGCTAGGCCCTTGTTCTTGCAATTTTGCACACGCTAGACCCTTGTTTTTTTCTATTTTGCACACGCTAGGCCCTTGTTCTTGCTATTTTCGCGAACGCTAGGCCCTTGTTTCTTATTTTTTGCACACGCTAGGCCCTTGCTCTTGCTATTTTGCACTCGCTAGGCCCTTGTTCTTGCAACGTTTCACACGCTAGGGCCCTTGCTCTTGCAATTTTGCACACGCTAGGCCCTTGTTATTTTATTTTGCACACGCTTGGTCCTTGTTCTTTGATTTTGCACACGCTATGCCCTTGTTCTTTTTATTTTGCACACGCTAGCCCTTGTTCTTGCAATTTTGCACATGCTAGACCCTTGTTCTTTTATTTTGCACACGCTAGGCCCTTGCTCTTGCTATTTTGCGAACGCTAGGCCCTTGTTCTTGATGTTTTGCACACGCTAGGCCCTTGCTCTTGCTATTTTGCACTCGCTAGGCCCTTATTCTTGCAATTTTGCACACGCTAGGCCCTTGTTCTTGCAATTTTGCACACGCTAGGCCCTTGTTCTTGCTATTTTGCACACGCTAGGCCCTTGTTCTTTTTATTTTGCACACGCTAGGCCCTTGTTCTTTTTATTTTGCACACGCTAGGCCCTTCTTCTTGCTATTTTGCATATGCTATGCCATAGGTCTTTTTATTTTGCACACGCTTGGCCCTTGTTCTTGCAATTTTGCATATACTAGACCCTTGTTCTTTTTATTTTGCACACACTAGGCCCTTGCTCTTGCATTTTCGCGAACGCTAGGCCCTTGTTCTTGATTTTTTGCACACGCTAGGCCCTTGCTCTTGCTATTTTGCACTCGCTAGGCCCTTGTTCTTGCAATTTTGCACACGCTAGGCCCTTGTTCTTTCAATTTTGCACACGCTAGGCCCTTGTTCTTTTTATTTTGCACACGCTAGGCCCTTGTTCTTTTTATTTTGTACACGCTAGGCCCTTGTCCTTGCTATTTTGCACACGCTATGCCCTTGTTCTTTTTATTTTGCACACGCTAGGCCTTTGTTCTTTTTATTTTGCACACGCTAGGCCCTTGTTCTTGCTATTTTGCACACGCTATGCCCTTGTTTTTTTTATTTTGCACACGCTAGGCCCTTGTTCTTGCAATTTTGCACATGCTAGACCCTTGTTCTTTTTATTTTGCACACGCTAGGCCCTTGTTCTTGCTATTTCGCGAACGCTAGGCCTTGTTCTTAATTTTTTTGCTCACGCTAGGCCCTTGCTCTTGCTATTTTGCACTCGCTAGGGCCCTTGTTCTGGCAACTTTGCACACGCTAGTGTCGAAATATATTGTCATGTTTTATAACTGCTTGTAGTTGTAGTTAGTGTAGTTATTTAAACTGTTGTTGGTGGTGCACCTTATTTGGTTTCTATACTATATGTACCCTTGAACCTATAGTGAAACCATCACTTTTCTCCAACTCCTCTCTCAACTCACTCGACACCTCGCCTAGGGTATAACCCGCTCGATACCTAAGTTCGGGCCTAAGCAACTAAGCCTAGGCCCCACCTCTCAACTTACCTATTATTCTCGACAGCTAGGCCCTTGCTCTTGCAATTTTGCACACGCTAGGCCCTTGTTCTTTTTATTTTGCACACGCTTGGCCCTTGTTCTTTTGATTTTGCACACGCTATGCCCTTGTTCTGTTTATTTTGCACACGCTAGGCCCTTGTTCTTGCAATTTTGCACATGCTAGACCCTTGTTCTTTTTATTTTGCACACGCTAGGCCCTTGCTCTTGCTATTTTGCGAACGCTAGGCCCTTGTTCTTGATTTTTTTGCACACGCTAGGCCCTTGCTCTTGCTATTTTGCACTCGCTAGGCCCTTGTTCTTGCAATTTTGCACACGCTAGGCCCTTGTTCTTGCAATTTTGCACACGCTAGGCCCTTGTTCTTGCTATTTTGCACACGCTAGGCTCTTGTTCTTTTATTTTGCACACGCTAGGCCCTTGTTCTTTTTATTATGCACACGCTAGGCCCTTCTTCTTGCTATTTTGCATATGCTATGCTATAGGTCTTTTTATTTTGCACACGCTTGGCCCTTGTTCTTGCAATTTTGCACATGCTAGACCCTTGTTCTTTTTATTTTGCACACACTAGGCCCTTGCTCTTGCATTTTCGCGAACGCTAGGCCCTTGTTCTTGATTTTTTGCACACGCTAGGCCCTTGCTCTTGCTATTTTGCACTCGCTAGGCCCTTGTTCTTGCAATTTTGCACACGCTAGGCCCTTGTTCTTTCAATTTTGCACACGCTAGGCCCATGTTCTTTTTATTTTGCACACGCTAGGCACTTGTTCTTTTTATTTTGCACACGCTAGGCCCTTGTCCTTGCTATTTTGCACACGCTATGCCCTTGTTCTTTTTATTTTGCACACGCTAGGCCTTTGTTCTTTTTATTTTGCACACGCTAGGCTTTGTTCTTGCTATTTTGCACACGCTATGCCCTTGTTTTTTTTATTTTGCACACGCTATGCCCTTGTTCTTGCAATTTTGCACATGCTAGACCCTTGTTTTTTTTTTTTGCACACGCTAGGCCCTTGTTCTTGCTATTTCGCGAACGCTAGCCCTTGTTCTTAATTTTTTGCACACGCTAGGCCCTTGCTCTTGCTATTTTGCACTCGCTAGGCCCTTGTTCTGGCAACTTTTGCACACGCTAGTGTCGAAATATATTGTCATGTTTTATAACTGCTTGTAGTTGTAGTTAGTGTAGTTATTTAAACTGTTGTTGGTGGTGCACCTTATTTGGTTTCTATGCTATATGTACCCTTGAACCTATAGTGAAACCATCACTTTTCTCCAACTCCTCTCTCAACTCACTCGACACCTCGCCTAGGGTATAACCCGCTCGATACCTAAGTTCGGGCCTAAGCTACTAAGCCTAGGCCCCATCTCTCAACTTACCTATTATTCTCGACAGCTAGGCCCTTGCTCTTGCAATTTTGCACACGCTAGGCCCTTGTTCTTGCAATTTTGCACACGCTTGGCCCTTGTTCTTTTGATTTTGCACACGTTATGCCCTTGTTCTTTTTATTTTGCACACGCTAGGCCCTTGTTCTTGCAATTTTGTACATGCTAGACCCTTGTTCTTTTTATTTTGCACACGCTAGGCCCTTGCTCTTGCTATTTTGCGAACGCTAGGCCCTTGTTCTTGATTTTTTGCACACGCTAGGCCCTTGCTCTTGCTATTTTGCACTCGCTAGGCCCTTGTTCTTGCAATTTTGCACACGCTAGGCCCTTGTTCTTGCAATTTTGCACACGCTAGACCCTTGTTCTTGCTATTTTGCACACGCTAGGCCCTTGTTCTTTTTATTTTGCACACGCTAGGCCCTTGTTCTTTTTATTTTGCACACGCTATGCCCTTGTTCTTTTTATTTTGCTCACGCTAGGCCCATATTCTTGCTACTTTGCACACGCTATGCCCTTGTTCTTTTTATTTTGCACACGCTAGGCCCTTATTCTTGCAATTTTGCACATGCTAGACCCTTGTTCTTTTTATTTTGCACACGCTAGGCCCTTATTCTTGCAATTTTGCACATGCTAGACCCTTGTTCTTTTTATTTTGCACCAGCAGCAGACCCACCGCCAGGACAGACAGCAGTATTCTCAGCACCAACACCCTCAGCAGCTCCAGCTCCAGTAGGACCCGCAGGCCCAGCAGCTCCGGGACCGGCAGCACCAGCACCCTCGACGGTCGAAGAAGCACCAGCTCCAGCAGCACGCCTCCAGCGGCGAGCAAACCACTCGCGCAGCTCCTGTGGAGAGAGGGGCTCCCGTCGAGACGCAAGCAGCAGGAGAATCCCCAGGCTCAGCAGCTCCAGACTCAGCACCCCCAGGCTCAGCAGCTCCCAACTCAGCACCCCCAGGCTAAGCAGCTCCCAACTCAGCACCCCCAGACCCAGCACCCCTTAGCTCAGCAGCTCCAGGCACAGCACCCCCCCGGCTCAGCACCCCCAGGCTCAGCACCCTCCGCATTAGCACCCCCAGGCCCAGCACCCCCAGGCTCAGCACCTCCAGGCCCGGCACCCCCGCGCACAGCACCCCCAGAGTCAGCACCCCCTGGCTCAGCACCCGCAGCAGCACCAAAGTCACCAGTAACCTCGACCGGGTCAACTGCGTCTACCTGGGACACACCTGAGAGAGGAGGGGGTCTACCGGGGGGGAACCGGTACAAGGAAGTCCGGCGGAGGGGGGAGGGAAGGAGTGCGGTAGGGGAAGAGGCGGTAGAAGGGGACTGACTCGTCGAACGTGACGTCCTGGGAGGACAGAACACGACGAGAGGAGGGGTGGTAAAACTGCCACCCTGGAGCGTCAGTGGGGAAGCCAAGGAAGACACAGGGAGTAGCACGAGGGGACAGCTTGTCCGCAGACAAGTCGCGGACAAACGCCCGAGATCCCAAGACACGGAACGCCGACGCATCGCCAACCTTCCCCGTCCACAGCAAGACTGGGGACATCGCGGGCCGAGAGACCCTGGGGTGAAGGTTGAGCTGATGCGCCGCGTACCTCACCGCAAACAGCCACAGAAAATGGGGGGCAGCCGCATGCATCATGGACGTACAAACGACATCCATGACCATGCCAATGCGGCGCTCAGCAATCCCATTTTGCTGTGGATAGTCGGAAGCGTGAAGGTCTGGCGGATCCCCCGTGCACGACAGTAGTTCTCGCAGAAGGTGAGAGGAGAACTCTCCGCCTCTGTCCGAGTGCAGACGCAGAACAGGAAAGTCTGAGCCGAAGCTCTTCCTGAGCTGGAGACGAGCCTCGCGGATCCAGTCGATCAGCACCTCAGTGACAGCACCCTTGCTGCGCAAGGGGAGGACTGTGGTGTAACGCGAGTAGTCGTCAACCACCAACAGGAAGTAGCGCTCGTGACCCTGCCCACGGACGGGGGCTGGGCCCCACACGTCCATGTGAAGGGTCTGCAGTGGAGCCTCTGTCGGGGGGAACTGGGAGGAGTGAGGAGCAGCCCGGAGGCGCCCCTCGACATAGGGGACACCGGAAGGTCCTGGCCCGGAGGGAAGGGGAGGGAGAGACCGGGAAGACCAGAGACAAGGACACGGGAAGCAATGCTCCGAAGACGGGGCAAGGAGGGGTGGCCAAGACGGTGGTGCCACAGGAGAGTCTCGTGAGACAGGAGGCGACAAGAACAGGGGGCAGACTCAGGACCTGACCGGGACGCAGCAGCAAGCACCTGACCTGACGCAGCTACCTGACCCGACGCAGGGACAGGAGGAGATGTAGTGGTCAGGGTGTAGAGGCTCGACCCTGGCCGACGTGAGAACGTGGCCAGGTGTCGGCCTGTGCGTGCGTCCGTGCAGTGGGTCACCCGCTGACTCGCAGGAGTGAACTGGTGAACCCCCGCATCCTGTAGGTCCGCACCACTCACCAAGTTCGTCGAGAACGAGGGAAGGTACAGACCAGACAGTGTGCCCGAGGGGGCAGCCGGACACGGGAGCACAGTAGAGAAGTGAGAGAGGACAGGACCCCCAGAGGGGTCAGCCAGGGAGACCGCAATCGGCCGGCCAAGCGGCGTGAGGGTGGTGCGGTCTCGAAAGAAGGAGCGAGAAGCTCCAGAGTCAAGTGTGAAAGTGAGGGAGGACGAAGGCGACGCAGTACTTGAGAGCGCAGTCTAACCAGCACCTGAGAGCGCAGACGCACTGGCACCTAGAGCGGCAGCCTCACAAGCACCTAGCGCAGCAGTACCAATGCCCGGGTCGGGCGAGAAACACCGGTAACAGTCACCCTCCTCACTAATAGTCACAGCATACATAGCAGCAAGGATAGCATCAAAATCAAGATCAAAGATCGCTACACCAGCCCGAAGAAGCTCATCCCTGCGAGGGATCTCACTAGCCCTGGGGAACTGCTGACGCCAAGCGTCCGTCAGGCGGCCAAAGCAGCGCTGGGTGGGGTGGGCACCCCCACACTGCTCACCCGCGCGGTCGCCGGAACGAAGGACGTAGGTGCAAGGACCAGTACCCCCACCCCTCTGACGCCGAGTGTACCACTCACGGAGCTGCTGGGGCAGAGGGACGTCACGCGAACGCTGCTGCTGCTGCTGCTGCGAGCGCTGACCACCACCACCGCCGCTCCGCTGCTGGGTACCGCCTCGACCAGCTCCACCTCCTCCGCCACCACCGCCTCCTCCGCCGCCGCCTCCCCCACCGTCACCGCCACCACTGCCGCTACCACCACCGCCGCCGCCACCACCGCCGCCTCCTCCGCCGCTGCCACCACTACCACCACCACCCCCTCCACAACTCCCGCCGCCACCCCCACTCCCTCCGCTGCCTCCACTGCCACCTCCACCGCCTCCTCCAGCTCCACCAGCGCCCTTGCTCCCCTTGCCCTTGCCAGAGCGGCGTCTCCCACTAGGGGCAAACGCCGCGCCAACCGACTCGAGACCAAGCAGGTCGGCAGCAGCAGCAGAGGCAACAGAGGGCAGCAAGGGGGGAAGGAGAGCACCCCTCAAAGATGGGGGTGCGAGGGTCACCACGAGAAGCTCCTACAGCGACGATGCTCTTCTCCGCCGCAAGGAGGGCCTTCTCGAGGACGTCGACGGTGAGGGTGGTGGGACAGACTGCGAGAAAGTGGTCCCTGACTACGCGAAGGGAGTCAGGGAGGCGCGCGACTACGTAGTAGAGAGTGATGTACATGGGGGGGGGTTCTTAGCGCAGAACTCAGCAGGAAGGGCGGCGCGGTAGCGAGTGTCACTAGTGCGGAGGTGCATAATGAGATCAGCGACAGTGGGAAAGGCAGAGAGGTCAGGAAAGAGGTAGGGAAGCATGAGACGGCTCAGTGCAGCAGTGGCAGGGGAGGAGTAGCGCGCAACTACAGCGTCGTACAAGGTCTGAGCACTCTTGTACTGACTAAAGTGTGCGCGCTCAGAGGTAGGGAGGTGGCGACGCACAGCAAGACGTGCAGCAGCATCGCGGGTGGCCCACTGAGAGCGCACAGTGGGATCAGCATCAGCAGCAGGGGCAGGAGAGGTGCCAGAAGTGAGGTCAAAGAGAGAGAGGCCGTCTGCCCTATCGCACTGTAAAAACAACTGCAGGTCGTCGACCCAGACCTCAAAGTCAATGGCGCGACCCTCAGCGTCAAAAGCTAGGACACTAGGGGTAGCCATGACGACGACAGCGAAGCAGTGCAAGCAGTAGGAGAAGAGCACGCAGTGACAGTGGGACTGTGCTCACCAGGCAGGGCAGGCCGGGCAGCTCTGCAGAAGGGCGGCTCGGCGACTCAGCGACTCGGCTGCTGGGCGGCTCGGCGGCAGGGCGGCTCGGGTGTCGGGCGGCTCGGCTCCCGGGCGGCTCGGCGGCAGGGCGGCTCGGGTGTCGGGCGGCTCGGGTGCAGGGCGGCTCGGCTCCCGGGCGGCTCGGCGGCAGGGCGGCTCGGGTGCCGGACGGCTCGGCCGCACTGCTGCTCGGCTGCTGCAGGTGGGCGGCTCGGCTGCTGCAGGTAGGGTGGCGGGGCCGCGAGACCAGGGGCGGCGGGGCCGGCGGTGCAGGGACGGGGACGGCGGGGCCGGCAGGTGATGGAAAGGGGGATTTAGGGTTTAGAATCTGGGAGAAGGGGATGGAATCTGGGAGAAGGGGATGGAATCGGGGAGAAGGGGATGGAATGAGGGAGAAGGGGATGGAATCTGGGAGAAGGGGATGGAATCTGGGAGAAGGGGATGGAATCTGGGAGAAGGGGATGGAATCTGGGAGAAGGGGATGGAATCTGGGAGAAGGGGGTGGAATCTGGGAGAAGGGGATGAACCCTGGGAGAAGGGGATGGAATCTGGGAGAAGGGGATGGAATCTAGGAGAAGGGGATGGAATCTGGGAGAAGGGGATGGAATCTGGGAGAAGGGGATGGAATCAGGGAGAAGGGGATGGAATCTAGGAGAAGGGGATGGAATCTGCGAGAAGGGGATGGAATCTGGGAGAAGGGGATGGAATCTGGGAGAAGGAGATGGAATCTGGGAGAAGAGGGTGGAATCAGACCCCCTCATTCTCCCTCCTTCCATCACCCCGCCCCATTCTCCCGCTTTCCATCACCTCGCCCCATTCTCCCGCTTTCCATCACCCAGCCCCATTCTCCCACGTTCCATCACCCTGCCCCATTTTCCCGCTTTCTATCACCCAGCCCCATTCTCACGCTTTCCATCACCCTGCCCAATCTCCCGCTTTCCATCACCCCGCCCCATTCTCCCTCCTTCCATCACCCCGCCCCATTTTCCCGCTTTCCATCACCCCGCCCCATTCTCCCGCTTTCCATAACCCCGCCCCATTCTCCCTCCTTCCATCACCCGCCCCGTTCTCCCTCCTTCCATCACCCCGCCCCTTTCTCCCTCCTTCCATCACCCCGCCCTATTCTCCCGCTCTCCATCACCCCGCCCCATTCTCCCGCTTTCCATCACCCCGCCCCATTCTCCCGCTTTCCATCAACCCGCCCCATTCTCCCGCTTTCCATCACCCAGCCCCATTCTCCCGCTTTCCATCACCCCGCCCCATTCTCCCGCCCCATTCTCCCTCTTTCCATCACCCCGCCCCATTCTCCCGCATTCCTTCACCCCGCCCCATTTTCCCTCGTTCCATCACCCCGCTCCATTCTCCCGCTTTCCATCACCCACCCCCATTCTTCCTCTTTCCATCACCCTGCCCCATTCTCCCGATTTCCATCACCACGCCCCATTCTCCCGCTTTCCACCACCCCGCCCCGTTCTCCCACTTTCCATCACCCCGCCCCATTCTCCCGCTTTCCATCACCACGCCCCATTCTCCCTCTTTCCATCACCCCGCCCCGTTCTCCTGCTTTCCATCACCACGCCCCATTCTCCCGCTTTCCATCACCCCGCCCCATTCTCCCGCTTTCCATCACCCCGCCCCATTCTCCCGCTTTCCATCACCCCGCCCCATTCTCCCTCTTTCCATCACCCCGCTCCGTTCTCCCGCTTTCCATCACCCTGCCCCATTCTCCCGCTTTCCATCACCCCGCCCCATTCTCCCGCTTTCCATCACCCCGCCCCATTCTCCCTCTTTCCATCACCCAGCCCCATTCTCCCGATATCTGTCACCCCGCCCCATTCTCCCTCTTTCCATCACCCCGCCCCATTCTCCCGATTTCCGTCACCCCGCCCCCATTCTCCCTCTTTCCATCACCCCGCCCCATTCTCCCTCTTTCCATCACCCCGCCCCATTCTCCCTCTTTCCATCACCCCGCCCCATTCTCCTGATTTCCGTCACCTCGCCCCATTCTCCCTCTTTCCATCACCCCGCCCCATTCTCCCGATTTTCGTCATCCTGCCCCATTCTCCCTCTTTCCATCACCCCGCCCCGTTCTCCCTCTTTCCATCACCCCGACCCATTCTCCCGCTTTCCATCACCCCGCCCCATTCTCCCTCTTTCCATCACCCCGCCCCATTCTCCCGCTTTCCATCACCCCGCCCCATTCTCCCTCTTTCCATCACCCCGCCCCGTTCTCCCGCTTTCCATCACCCCGCCCCATTCTCCCGCTTTCTATCACCCAGCCCCATTCTCACGCTTTCCATCACCCTGCCCCAATCTCCCGCTTTCCATCACCCCGCCCCATTCTCCCTCCTTCCATCACCCCGCCCCATTTTCCCGCTTTCCATCACCCCGCCCCATTCTCCCGCTTTCCATAACCCCGCCCCATTCTCCCTCCTTCCATCACCCGCCCCGTTCTCCCTCCTTCCATCACCCCGCCCCTTTCTCCCTCCTTCCATCACCCCGCCCTATTCTCCCGCTCTCCATCACCCCGCCCCATTCTCCCGCTTTCCATCACCCCGCCCCATTCTCCCGCTTTCCATCAACCCGCCCCATTCTCCCGCTTTCCATCACCCAGCCCCATTCTCCCGCTTTCCATCACCCCGCCCCATTCTCCCGCCCCATTCTCCCTCTTTCCATCACCCCGCCCCATTCTCCCGCATTCCTTCACCCCGCCCCATTTTCCCTCGTTCCATCACCCCGCTCCATTCTCCCGCTTTCCATCACCCACCCCCATTCTTCCTCTTTCCATCACCCTGCCCCATTCTCCCGATTTCCATCACCACGCCCCATTCTCCCGCTTTCCACCACCCCGCCCCGTTCTCCCACTTTCCATCACCCCGCCCCATTCTCCCGCTTTCCATCACCACGCCCCATTCTCCCTCTTTCCATCACCCCGCCCCGTTCTCCTGCTTTCCATCACCACGCCCCATTCTCCCGCTTTCCATCACCCCGCCCCATTCTCCCGCTTTCCATCACCCCGCCCCATTCTCCCGCTTTCCATCACCCCGCCCCATTCTCCCTCTTTCCATCACCCCGCTCCGTTCTCCCGCTTTCCATCACCCTGCCCCATTCTCCCGCTTTCCATCACCCCGCCCCATTCTCCCGCTTTCCATCACCCCGCCCCATTCTCCCTCTTTCCATCACCCAGCCCCATTCTCCCGATATCTGTCACCCCGCCCCATTCTCCCTCTTTCCATCACCCCGCCCATTCTCCCGATTTCCGTCACCCCGCCCCATTCTCCCTCTTTCCATCACCCCGCCCCATTCTCCCTCTTTCCATCACCCCGCCCCATTCTCCCTCTTTCCATCACCCCGCCCCATTCTCCTGATTTCCGTCACCTCGCCCCATTCTCCCTCTTTCCATCACCCCGCCCATTCTCCCGATTTTCGTCATCCTGCCCCATTCTCCCTCTTTCCATCACCCCGCCCCGTTCTCCCTCTTTCCATCACCCCGACCCATTCTCCCGCTTTCCATCACCCCGCCCCATTCTCCCTCTTTCCATCACCCCGCCCCATTCTCCCGCTTTCCATCACCCCGCCCCATTCTCCCTCTTTCCATCACCCCGCCCCGTTCTCCCGCTTTCCATCACCCCGCCCCATTCTCCCGCTTTCCATCACCCCGCCCCATTCTCCCGCTTTCCATCACCCCGCCCCATTCTCCCGCTTTCCATCACCCGCCCCATTCTCCCGATTTCCATCACCCCGCCCCATTCTCCCGCTTTCCATCACCCAGCCCCATTCTTCCGCTTTCCATCACCCCGACCCATTCTCCCACTTTCCATCACCCCGCCCCATTCTTCCGCTTTCCATCACCCCGCCCCATTCTCCCGATTTCCATCACCCCGCCCATTCTACCGCTTTCCATCACCCCGCCCCATTCTCCCGCTTTCCATCACCCCGCCCCATTCTCCCGCATTCCATCATCCGTCCCATTCTCCCTCCTTCCATCACCCCGCCCCATTCTTCCGCTTCCCATCATCCCGCCCCATTCCCCCGCTTTCCATCACCCCTCCCCATTCTACCTCCTTCCATCACCCCGCCCCATTCTCCCTCTTTCCATCACCCCGCCCCATTCTCCCTCTTTCCATCACCCCGCCCCATTCTCCCGATTTCCGTCACCTCGCCCCATTCTACCTCTTTCCATCACCCCGCCCCATTCTCCCGATTTCCGTCATCCTGCCCCATTCTCCCTCTTTCCATCACCCCGCCCCGTTCTCCCTCTTTCCATCACCCCGACCCATTCTCCCGCTTTCCATCACCCCGCCCCATTCTCCCTCTTTCCATCACCCCGCCCCATTCTCCCGCTTTCCATCACCCCGCCCCATTCTCCCTCTTTCCATCACCCCGCCCCGTTCTCCCGCTTTCCATCACCCCGCCCCATTCTCCCGCTTTCCATCACCCCGCCCCATTCTCCCGCTTTCCATCACCCCGCCCCATTCTCCCGCTTTCCATCACCCCGCCCCATTCTCCCGATTTCCATCACCCCGCCCCATTCTCCCGCTTTCCATCACCCAGCCCCATTATTCCGCTTTCCATCACCCCGACCCATTCTCCCACTTTCCATCACCCCGCCCCATTCTTCCGCTTTCCATCACCCCGCCCCATTCTCCCGATTTCCATCACCCCGCCCCATTCTCCCGCTTTCCATCACCCCGCCCCATTCTCCCGCTTTCCATCACCCCGCCCCATTCTCCCGCTTTCCATCATCCCGCCCCATTCTCCCTCCTTCCATCACCCCGCCCCATTCTTCCGCTTCCCATCATCCCGCCCCATTTCCCCGCTTTCCATCACCCCTCCCCATTCTCCCTCCTTCCATCAACCCGCCCCATTCTCTCGCTTTCCATCACCCCGCCCCATTCTCCCGCTTTCCATCACCCCGCCCCATTTTCCCGCTTTCCATCACTCTGCCCCATTATCCCTCCTTCCATCACCCCGCCCCATTCTCCCTCCTTCCATCACCCCGCCCCATTCTCCTGCTTTCCATCACCCCGCCTCATTCTCCCGCTTCCCATAACCCCACCCCATTCTCCCGCTTTCCATCACCCCGCCACATTCTCCCACTTTCCATCACCCCGCCCCCTTCTCTCTCCTTCGATCACCCCGCCCTATCTCCCTCCTTCCATCACCCCGCCCCATTCTCCCTCTTTCCATCACCCCGCCCCATTCTCCCGCTTTCCATCACCCCGCCCCATTTTCCCGATTTCCATCACCCCGCCCCATTCTCCCGCTTTCGATCACCCCGCCCCATTCTCTCGCTTTCCATCACCCCGGCCCATTCTCCCGCTTTCCATCACCCCGCCCCATTCTCCCGCTTTCAATCACCCAGCCCCATTCTCCCTCTTTCCATCACCCCGCCCCATTCTCCCGCATTTCATCACCCCGCCCCATTTTCCCTCGTTCCATCACCCCGCTCCATTCTCCCGCTTTCCATCACCCCGCCCAATTCTCCGTCTTTCCATCACCCCTCCCCATTCTCCCTCTTTCCATCACCCCGCCCCATTCTCCCGCTTTCCATCACCCCGCCCCATTCTCCCTCTTTCAATCACCCCGCCCCATTCTCCCTCTTTCCATCACCCCGCCCCATTCTCCTGCTTTCCATCACCGCGCTCCATTCTCCCTCTTTCCATCACCCCGCCCCATTCTCACGCTTTCCATCACCCCGCCCCATTCTCCCTCTTTCCATCACCCCGCTCCTTTCTCGCTTTCCATCACCCCGCCCAATTCTCCCTCTTTCCATCACCCCTCCTCATTCTTCCTCTTTCCATCACCCCGTCCCATTCTCCTGCTTTCCACCACCCCGCTTTCCATAACCCCGCCCAATTCTCCCGCTTTCCATCACCACGCCCCATTCTCCCACTTTCCATCACCCCGCCCCATTCTCTCGCTCTCGATCATCCCGCCCCATTCTCCCGCCTTTCATCACCCCGCCCCATTCTCCCGCTTTCAATCACCCTGCCCCATTCTCCCTCTTTCCATCACCCCGCCCCATTCTCCCGCTTTCCATCACCCCGCCCCATTCTCCCTCTTTTTATCAGCCCGCCCCATTCTCCCGCTTTCAATCACCCCGAACCATTCTCCCGCTTTACATCACCCCACCCCATTCTCCTGCTTTCCCTCACCCCGCCCCTTTCTCCCGCTTTCCATCACCCTGCCCCATTCTCCCGCTTTCCATCACCCCACTCCATTCTCCCGCTTTCCATCACCCTGCTCAATTCTCCCTCTTTCCATCACCCCTCCCCATTCTCCCTCTTTCCATCACCAAGCCCCATTCTCCCGCTTTCCATCACCCCGCCCCATTCTCCCTCTTTCCATCACCCCGCCCCTTTCTTCCTCTTTCCATCACCCCGCCCCATTCTCCCTCTTTCCACCACCCCGCCCCATTCTCCCTGTTTTCATCACCCCGCCCCATTCTCCCGTTTTCCATCACCCCGCCTCATTCTCCCGCTCTCCATCACCCCGCCCCATTCTCCCTCTTTCCATCACCCCGCCCCATTCTCCCGCTTTCCATCACCCCGCCCTGTTCTCCCTCTTTCCATCACCCCGCCCCATTCTCTCTCTTTCCATCACCCCGCCCCATTCTCCCGCTTTCCATCACCCCGCCGCACTCTCCATCTTTCCATCACTCCGCCCCATTCTCCCGCCTTCCATCACCCCGCCCCATTCTCCATCCTACCATCACCCCGCCCCATTCTCCCTCTTTCCATCACCCCGCCCGATTCTCCAGCCTTCCATCACCCCGCCCCATTCTCCCTCTTTCCATCACCCCGCCCCATTCTCCCTCTTTCCATCACCCCGCCCCATTCTCCCTCTTTCCATCACCCCGCCCCATTCTCCCTCTATCCATCACCCCGCCCCATTCTCCCGCTTTCCTTCACCCCGTCCCATTTTCCCGCTTTCCATCACCCCGCCCCATTCTCTTTCTTTCCATCACCTCGCCCCATTCTCCCGCTTTCCATCACCCCGCCCCATTCTCTCGCTTTCCATCACCCCGCCCCATTCTCCTGCTTTCCATCACCCTGCCCATTCTCCCGCTTTCCATCAAACCCGCCCCATTCTCCGTCTTTCCATCACCCCGCCCCATTCTCCCGCTTTCCATCACCCCGCTCCATTCTCCCGCTTTCCATCACCTCGCCCAATTCTCCCTACTTCCATCACCCCTCCCCATTCTCCCTATTTCCATCACCCCGACCTATTCTCCCTCTTTCCATCACCCCGCCCCATTCTCCCTCTTTCCATCACCCCGCCCCATTCTCCCTCTTTCCGTCACCCCGCCACATTATCCCTCTTTCCATCACCCTGCCCTATTCTCCCTGTTTCCATCACCCTGCCCCATTCTCCCTATTTCCATCACCCCGCCCCATTCTCCCGCTTTCCATCACCCCGCCCCATTCTCCCGCTTTCCATCACCCCGCCCCATTCTCCCACTTTCCATCACCCCGTCCCGTTCTCCCGCTTCCCATCATCCCACCCCGTTCTCCCGCTTTCCATCACCCTGCCCCATTCTCCCGTTTTCCATCACCCCGCCCCCTTCTCCCTCTTTCCATCACCCCAGTCATTCTCCCGTTTTCCATCACCCCTCCCCATTCTCCCTCTTTCCATCACCCCGCCCCATTCTCCCTCTTTCCATCACCCCGCCCCATTCTCCCGCTTTCTATCACCCCGCCCCATTCTCATGCTTTCCATCACCCAGCTCCATTCTCCCGCTTTCCATCACCCCGCCTAATTCTCCCTCTTTCCATCACTCCTCCCCATTCTCCCTCTTTCCATCACCCTGCCCCATTCTCCCGCTTTCCATCACCCCGCCCCATTCTCCCGCTTTCCATCACCCCAAGCCATTCTCCCTCTTTCCATCACCCCGCCTCATTCTCCCGCTTTCCATCACCCCGCCCCATTCTCCCGCTTTCCATCACCCCGCCCCATTGTCCCTCTTTCCATCACCCCGCCCCATTCTCCCTCTTTCCATCACCCCACCCCATTCTCCCGCTTTCAATCACCGCGCCCCATTCTCCCCCATTTCATCACCCCGCCCCATTCTCCCGCTTTCCATCACCCCGCCCCATTCTCCCGCTTTCCATCAACCCGCCCCATTCTCCCTCTTTCCATCACCCCGCCCCATTCTCCTGCTTTCCATCACCCAGCTCCATTCTCCCGCTTTCCATCACCCCGCCTAATTCTCCCTCTTTCCATCACTCCTCCCCATTCTCCCTCTTTCCATCACCCTGCCCCATTCTCCCGCTTTCCATCACCCCGCCCCATTCTCCCGCTTTCCATCACCCCAAGCCATTCTCCCTCTTTCCATCACCCCGCCTCATTCTCCCGCTTTCCATCACCCCGCCCCATTCTCCCGCTTTCCATCACCCCGCCCCATTGTCCCTCTTTCCATCACTCTGCCCCATTCTCCCTCTTTCCATCACCCCACCCCATTCTCCCGCTTTCAATCACCCCGCCCCATTCTCCCCTTTTCATCACCCCGCCCCATTCTCCCGCTTTCCATCACCCCGCCCCATTCTCCCGCTTTCTATCAACCCGCCCCATTCTCCCTCTTTCCATCACCCCGCCCTAATCTCCCTCTTTCCATCACCCTGACCCATTCTCCCGCTTTCCATCACCCCGCCCCATTCTCCCGCTTTCCATCACCCCGCCCCATTCTTCCGCTTTCCATCACCCCGCCCCATTCTCCCTCTTTCCATCACCCCGCCCGATTCTCCCTCTTTCCATCACCCCTCCCCATTCTCCCTCTTTCCATCACCCCGCCACATTCTCCCGCTTTCCATCACCGCGCCTCATTATCCCTCTTTCCATCACCCCGCCCCATTCTCCCGCTTTCCATCACCCCGCCACATTCTCCCTCTTTCCATCACCCCGCCCTATTCTCCCTCTTTCCATTTCCCCGCCCCATTCTCCCGCTTTCCATCACCCCACCCCACTCTCCCGCTTTCCATCACCCCACCCTTTTCTCCCGCTTTCCATCACCCCGCTCCATTCTCCCGCTTTCCATCACCCCGCCCAGTTCTCCCTCTTTCCATCACCCCTCCCCATTCTCCCTCTTTCCATCACCCTGCCCCATTCTCCCTCTTCCCATCACCCCGCCCCATTCTCCCGCTTTCCATCACCCTGCCCCATTCTCCCTCTTTCCATCATCCCGCCCCATTCTCCCGCTTTCCATCACCCCGCCCCATTCTCCCGCTTTCCATCACCCCGCCCCATTGTCCCTCTTTCCATCACCCCGCCCCATTCTCCCGCTTTCCACCACCCCGCTCTATTCTCTTGCTTTCCATCACCCCGCCCAATTCTCCCTCTTTCCATCACCCCTCCCGATTCTCCCTCTTTCCATCACCTCGCCCCATTCTCCCGCTTTCCATCACCCCGCCCCATTCTCCCTCTTTCCATCACCCCGCCCCATTCTCCCGCTGTCCATCACACCACCCCATTCTCCCGCTTTCCATCACCACGCCCCATTTTCCCTCTTTCCATCACCCCGCCCCATTCTCCCGCTTTCCATCACCCCGCCCCATTCTCCCGCTTTCCATCACCCCGCTCCATTCTCCCGCGTTCCATCACCCCGCCCGATTCTCCCTCTTTCCATCACCCCGCCCCATTCTCCCTCTTTCCATCACCCCGCCCCATTCTCCCGCTTTCTATCACCCTGCCCCATTCTCCTGCTTTCCATCACCCAGCTCCATTCTCCCGCTTTCCATCACCCCGCCTAATTCTCCCTCTTTCCATCACTCCTCCCCATTCTCCCTCTTTCCATCACCCCGCCCCATTCTCCCGCTTTCCATCACCCCGCCCCATTCTCCCGCTTTCCATCATCCCAAGCCATTCTCCCTCTTTCCATCACCCCGCCTCATTCTCCCGCTTTCCATCACCCCGCCCCATTCTCCCGCTTTCCATCACCCCGCCCCATTGTCCCTCTTTCCATCACCCCATCCCATTCTCCCTCTTTCCATCACCCTGCCCCATTCTCCCTCTTTCCATCACCCCGCTTCATTCTCCCGCTTTCCATCACCCCGCCCCATTCTTCCGCTTTCCATCACCCCGCCCCATTCTCCCTCTTTCCATCTCCCCGCCCCATTCTCCCTCTCTCCATCACCCCGCCCCATTCTCCCGCTTTCCATCACCCCGCCCCATTCTCCCGCTTTCAATCACCCCGCCCCATTCTTCCGCTTTCCATCACCCCGCCCCATTCTCCCTGTTTCCATCAGCCCGCCCCATTCTCCCTCTTTCCATCACCCCACCCCATTCTCCCGCTTTCCATTACCCTGCCCCATTCTCCCGCTTTTACATCACCCCGCCCCATTCTCACTCTTTCCATAACCCCGCCCTATTCTCCCTCTTTCCATCACCCCGCCCCATTCTCCCTCTTTCCATCACCCCACCCCATTCTCCCGCTTTCCATCACCCCGCCCCATTCTCCCGCTTTCCTTCATCCCGCCCCATTCTCCCGCTTTCCATCACCCCGCCCTATTCTCACTCTTTCCATCACCCTGCCCCATTCTCCTGCTTTCCATCACCCAGCCCCATTCTTCCGCTTTCCATCACCCAGCCCCATTCTCCCGCTTTCCATCACCCCGCCCCATTCTCCCGCTTTCCATCACCCAGCCCCATTCTCCCGCTTTCCATCAGCCCGCCCCATTCTCCCTCTTTCCATCACCCCACCCCATTCTCCCGCTTTCCATCACCCCGCCCCATTCTCCCGCTTTCCATCACCCCACCCCATTCTCCCTCTTTCCATCACCCTGCCCCATTCTCCCTCTATCCATCACCCCCGCCCAATTCTCCCGCTTTGCATCACCCCGTCCCATTCTCCCGCTTTCCATCACCCCGCCCCATTCTTTTGCTTTCCATCACCCCACCCCATCCTCCCTCTTTCCATCATCCCGCCCCATTCTCCCGATTTCCATCACCCCGCCCTGTTCCCCCGCTTTCGATCACCCCGCCCCATTCTCCCGCTTTCCATCATCCCGCCCCATTCTCCCGCTTTCCATCACCCTGCCCCATTCTCCCTCTTTCCATCACCCCGCCCCATTCTTCCTCTTTCCATCACCCCGCCCCATTCTCCCGATTTCCATCACCCCGCCCCATTCTCCCAATTTCCATCACCCCGCCCCATTCTCCCTCTTTCCATCACCCCGCCCCATTCTCCCTCTTTCCATTACCCCGCCCCACTCTCCCGCCGTCCATCACCCCGCCCAATTCTCCCTCTTTCCATCACCCCGCCCCATTCTCCCTCTTTCCATCACCCCGCCCCATTCTCCCTCTTTCCATCACCCCGCCCCATTCTCCCGCTTTCCATCATCCCGCGCCATTTTCCCTCTTTCCATCACCCCGCCCCATTCTCCCGCTTTCCATCACCTCGCCCCATTCTCTCGCTTTCCATCATCTCGCTCCATTGTCCCGCTTTCCATCATCCCGCCCAATTCTCCCTCTTTCCTTCACCCCTCCCCATTCTCCCTTTTTCCATCACCCCGCCCCATTCTCCTGCTTTCCATCACCCCGCCCCATTCTCCCTCTTTCCATCACCCCGCCCACTCTCCCGCCTTCCATCAACCCGCCCAATTCTCCCTCTTTCCATCACCCCGCCCCATTCTCCCTCTTTCCATCACCCCGCCCCATTCTCCCGCTTTCCATCATCCCGCCCAATTCTCCCTCTTTCCTTCACCCCTCCCCATTCTCCCTTTTTCCATCACCCCGCCCCATTCTCCTGCTTTCCATCACCCCGCCCCATTCTCCCTCTTTCCATCACCCCGCCCCACTCTCCCGCCTTCCATCAACCCGCCCAATTCTCCCTCTTTCCATCACCCCGCCCCATTCTCCCTCTTTCCATCACCCCGCCCCATTCTCCCGCTTTCCATCACCCCGCCCCATTCTCCTTTTTTCCATCACCCCGCCCCATTCTCCCTCTTTCCATCACCCCGCCCCATTCTCCCGCTTTCCATCACCCCGCCCCATTCTCTCGCTTTCCATCATCCCGCTCCATTGTCCCGCTTTCCATCACCCCTCCCCATTCTCCCCTTTTCCATCACCCCGCCCTATTCTCCCGCTTTCCATCACGCTGCCCCATTCTTCCTCTTTCCATCACCCCGCCCCATTCTCCCTCTTTCCATCACCCCGCCCCATTCTCCCGCTTTCCATCACCCCGCCCCATTCTACCGCTTTCCGTCACCCACACCCATTCTCCCTCTGTCCATCACCCCGACCCATTCTCCCTCTTTCTATCACCCGCCCCATTCTCCCGCTTTCCATCACCCTACCCCATTCTTCCTCTTTCCATCACCCCGCCCCATTCTCCCTCTTTCCATCACCCTGCCCCATTCTCTCGCTTTCCATCAGCCCGCGCCATTTTCCCTCTTTCCATCACCCCACCCCATTCTCCCACTTTCCATCACCCTGCCCCATTCTCAATCTATCCATCACCCCGCCCAATTCTCCCGCTTTCCATCACCCCGTCCCACTCTCCCGCTTTCCATCACCCCGCCCCATTCTCCCTCTCTCCATCACCCCGCCCCATTCTCCCGCTTTCCATCACCCCGCCCCATTCTACCGCTTTCCGTCACCCCACCCCATTCTCCCTCTGTCCATCACCCCGCCCCATTCTCCCTCTTTCTATCACCCCGCCCAATTCTCCCGCTTTCCATCACCCCACCCCATTCTCCCGCTTTCCATCACCTCGCCCCATTCTCTCGCTTTCCATCATCCCGCTCCATTGTCCCGCTTTCCATCATCCCGCCCAATTCTCCCTCTTTCCTTCACCCCTCCCCATTTTCCCTTTTTCCATCACCCCACCCCATTCTCCTGCTTTCCATCACCCCGCCCCATTCTCCCTCTTTCCATCACCCCGCCCCATTCTCCCGCTTTCCATCAGCCCGCGCCATTTTCCCTCTTTCCATCACCCCACCCCATTCTCCCACTTTCCATCACCCTGCCCCATTCTCAATCTATCCATCACCCCGCCCAATTCTCCCGCTTTCCATCACCCCGTCCCACTCTCCCGCTTTCCATCACCCTGCCCCATTCTCCCTCTTTCCATCACCCCGCCCCATTCTCCCGCTTTCCATGACCCAGCCCCATCCTCCCGCTTTCCATCACCCCGCCCAATTCTCCCTCTTTCCATCACCCCTCCCCATTCTCCCTCTTTCCATCAGCCCGCCTCATTCTCCCGCTTTCCATCACCCCGCCCCATTCTCCCTCTATCCATCACCCCGCCCCATTCTACCACTTTCCATCACCCCGCCCCATTCTCCCGCTTTCCATCACCCCGCCCCATTCTCCCGCTTTCCATCACCCCGCTCCATTCTCCCGCTTTCCATCACCCCGCCCAATTCTCCCTCTTTCCATCAACCCTCCCTATTCTCCCACTTTCCATCACCCCGCCCCATTCTCCCGCTTTCCATCACCCCGCCCCATTCTCCCGCTTTCCATCACCCTGCCCCATTCTCCCGCTTTCCATGACCCAGCCCCATCCTCCCGCTTTCCATCACCCGCCCAATTCTCCCTCTTTCCATCACCCCTCCCCATTCTCCCTCTTTCCATCAGCCCGCCTCATTCTCCCGCTTTCCATCACCCCGCCCCATTCTCCCTCTATCCATCACCCCGCCCCATTCTACCACTTTCCATCACCCCGCCCCATTCTCCCGCTTTCCATCACCCCGCTCCATTCTCCCGCTTTCCATCACCCCACCCAATTCTCCCGATTTGCATCACCCCGCCCCATTCTCCCGCTTTCCATCACCCCGCCCCATTCTCCCTCTTTCCATCACCTTGCCCATTCTCCCGCTTTCCATCACCCCGCCCCATTCTCCCTCTTTCCATCAGCCCGCCCCATTCTCTCGCTTTCCATCACCCCGCCCCATTCTCCCTCTTTCCATCACCCCGCCCCATTCTCCCTCTTTCCATCATCCCGCCCCATTCTCCCGCTTTCCATCACCCCGCCCCATTCTCCCTCTATCCATCACCCCGCCCCATTCTACCACTTTCCATCACCCCGCCCCATTCTCCCGCTTTCCATCACCCCGCCCCATTCTCCCGCTTTCCATCACCCCGCTCCATTCTCCCGCTTTCCATCACCCCGCCCAATTCTCCCTCTTTCCATCAACCCTTCCTATTCTCCCAATTTCCATCACCCCGCCCCATTCTTCCGCTTTCCATCACCCCGCCCCATTCTCTCGCTTTCCATCACCCTGCCCCATTCTCCCGCTTTCCATCACCCCGCCCCATTCTCCCGCTTTCCATCACCCCGCCCCATTCTCCCGCTTTCCATCACCCCGCCCCATTCTCCCTCTTTGCATCACCCCGCCTCGTTCTCCCGCTTTCCATCACCCCGCCCCGTTCTCCAGCTTTCCATCGCCCCGCCCCATTCTCCCGCTTTCCATCACCCCGCCCCATTCTCCCGCTTTCCATCACCCGGCCCCATTCTCCCTCTTTCCATCACCCCACCCCATTCTTCCGATTTGCATCACCCCGCCCCATTCTCCCGATTTGCATTACCCCGCCCCATTCTCCCGCCTTCCATCAACCCGCCCCATTCTCCCTCTTTCCATCACCCCGCCCCATTCTCCCGCTTTCCATCACCCCGCCCCATTCTCCCTCTTTCCATCTTACCGCCCCATTCTCCCGCTTTCCATCACACCACCCCATTCTCCCGCTTTCCATCACCACGCCCCATGTTCCCTCTTTCCATCACCCCGCCCCATTCTCCCGCTTTCCATCATCCCGCCCCATTCTCCCGCTTTCCATCACCCCGCTCAATTCTCCCGCTTTCCATCAACCCGCCCAATTCTCCCTCTTTCCATCACCTTTCCCCATTCTCCCTCTTTCCATCACCCCGCCCCATTCTCCCGCCCCATTCTCCCGCTTTCCATCACCCCGCCCAATTCTCCCGCTTTCCATCACCCCGCCCCATTCTCCCTCTTTCCATCACCCCGTCCCATTCTCCTTCTTTCCATCACCCCTCCCCATTCTCCCGCTGTCCATCACTCCGCCCCATTCTCCCGCTTTCCATCACCCCGCCCCATTCTCCCGCTTTCCATCACCCCGCCCCATTCTCCCTCTTTCCATCACCCCGCCCCGTTCTCCCTCTTTCCATCACCCCGCCCCATTCTCCCGATTTCCGTCAACTCGCCCCATTCTCCCTCTTTCCATCACCCCGCCCCATTCTCCCTCTTTCCATCACCCTGACCCATTCTCCCGCTTTCCATCACCCCGCCCCATTCTCCCTCTTTGACTCAATTCAACTTGGATCTGGAGCTCCTTGACGTCGCCTACAATAAGCAATTCAGATCGCACGATTTCATCAAGATCGACACAGCATCGGTTTGAACGAACGGGACTATGGCAGCAACATGGTCTTAGAACGCAACTTAGGAAGAGTTAGCAAGAGTTACGAGTTGGGAATGACTCCCAGCTCCTACAAACCCCAAGAGCCGAGGAACAGTGATGTGGAACACTGCCACACTGTCCCCAACCACGAAGGGTCTCGAAACTACCCTTCACTAGGGTCTACACCAACTGAAATGTTACACTACACGTTGTAATGTAACGAATCTTGATATCTTGAGGTGTACCCTTTTCGCGGACTTCGCGAACACTTGAATGTTGACACCAGGGCTCGGGTTCTTCATCACAAACTCATCCTTGAGTTCTTGATGGGTCTGCTGCACACACCTGCGACACGCCGAACATTCGACAAGCGACAAAATAGAAACCGCGCACGACAAAATAGAAACCGCGCGGGACACACAAAATGACCGCGTTACACGCGACTAGCGATAACTCGCTATTGACTTGACACACACACTCAATATCATGACCCATCATACACACACTATTATAAGCATGAAAAATATATTATCCCATGCCCTAAACCATTCCATGCACACACGCATGCACGCACACGGACAACAAGCCGAGTGCAAACCGTAGGTTGCACCAACAAACTCCCCCTCGGATTGTTGGACATAGAATCTGCTCCTCTTAGTTCAGAGCCATCCCAGCTAGCTTGCAACACTTCCAATGCTGCTGCTCCACCAGCCTCTTAGTCATCATGTCAGCCGGCTGCCCCGTGGTCTTCACATAACGCAGTTCAACTTCACCCGCGGCCACCATGCTCCTCGTCCAATGCCACTTCACCCTCATGTGCTTTGTCAAGCCATGCAACACGGGGTTCTTGGCTAGAGCAATGGCTCCCTGGCTGTCACAATAGAGAGGAGTAGGTCCTTGCTGCTCCTCCCCCAATTCAGCCAATAAACGCCGCTGCCACACAATCTCCCGTACGGCACGGAAGAGTGCCATGTACTCGGATTCCACCGAGCTCAATGCTTGGTCCACCTGCTTCTTGCTCTCCCAAGCAGTAGGGCTTCCACCAACACAGCAGATGAAGCCTCCCACACTTGTCATGTCCTCTGGTTCTGATGCATATGAAGCATCCGAGTAGGCGGTGAGGAACAAGCGCCCGGGTTCCACACCATCCGCGCCCTTTTTGCGCCTTTATGCCGCCGCCGAGTATTGCAGCCCAACGGTCGGTGTTTGGCCAAGGTACTTGGCCACCCTCATTCCAGCTGCTACCTGCTCCTCATTAGGGCATTGCACAACCCTAGCCAGCTGCCCGGTAGCAAACGCGACATCCGGTCGTGTGTTGACCGCCGCATACATGAGGCTGCCCACCAACGAGTGAAAACAGCGCCTCTCCTCTTCACCCACGCTCTCCTCCTCTGGTCCCTTCACACACTTGAACCCGGAGGGAAAGGGTGTAGCCACATGGCCTTCATTCTGGCCAAAGTTTGCAGCCAACGACTCCAGGTACTTCCGTTGGTGCACCCGCATGCACCGCTTCTCCACGTCACGTTCGATGTGGAGCCCGAGGTAGAAGTTCACGTCCCCAAGGGACTTGCACTTGAACTTGTCATGAAGTTTCAGCATCACCTCCTTCACAAGGTCAGAGGAGGGTGAGAATATGAGAATGTCGTCCACATAAACCACCATGAAGCTCCTCTGCTCTCCCTCGCCAAGCATGAACAAGGAGTGATCGGCCGTTGAGGGAGTGAAGCCGATCCCCTCCAACACTTCGCGCAGCTTCATGTACCATTGCCTTGGGGCCTGCTTCAGCCCATAGAGGGCCTTCTTCAGCTTCCACACTCTGCCACTACCATCATCAAGCCCCTCCGGCTGCGCCATAAAGATTTCCTCCTCAAGAATCCCGTCGAGGAACGCCGTTACGATGTCTAGCTGCTTCACCACCCAACCTTTGATCGCGGCTCCCGCGAATAGGGTTCGCAGCGTCGTCGGCTTCACCACAGGAGCAAACAACTCCTTGAAGTCCACCTTCTCCTTCTGCTGGTACCACTTGGCCACCAGCCGAGACTTGTAGCGCTCGATCACGCCATCGGCATCCGACTTGATCTTGAAGAGCCACTTGGACGTAATCGCCGTACGCCCCTCCGGTAGCTCCACCAACTCGTACGTGTCGTTCTCCTCAATGCTCTTCAGCTCATTCTCCATTGCCTTCTTCCACTCCTCAGCATCATCACTCTCCAAGGCCTCCTTGAGAGTTGCTGGTTCTCCCGGCATCTCCACTGGAGAGAATAAAGCGAAGGCACACTCCTCGTAGTCACTCTCCTCGTCGTCTCCAACCATCATTGCCGCTCCAGCTAGGGCCGTCTTGCCCTGCTTCCCCGGTGCATCATAGGTCAGCCTATTAGGGGCTTGGACTCTCCTCTTGACCCTTCCTTCCTCCTCAGCTGCAGCGACTTGAAGGCCTTGGCGTTGCTGCGGTGTGAATCAAATCCGTGGAGCACTCGTAGTGCGGGAAGGAAGTGTCGGTGCACGCTCGCTCACTTGCTGCACCTCCTCCTCTTCTTCCTCTGCATCCCTGGCCTCCTCTCCCCCATTCACAAGGGAAGATTGCCTTGTGGTAGTGCTGCCGCTGCTCAGCTCCAAAGGCAGCTCCACATGCTCCAAACCGGAGTTCTTCACCTCTCCAAACCGCACGCTAATCTTCGCCTCATTCTCCGCCTTCCAATCTTAGAACATGAAGTTCTCCATGAACTTGCAGTCCCTGCTCACCATGAACTTCTTGGTGAACGGGTCCCAAAGGAGCCACCCCTTGCTGTTTTGAGCCATGCCCAAGTGCACGGCCCACACCGCCTTGGCACCAAGCTTGTTGTGCCGAAGATGCTTAGGTACGAGCGCCATGCACATGCACCCGAACACCCGAAGCATATCCACCTTTGGCTTCCTTCCAAGCCACTCCACATAAGGCACCCATTTGTCTGCTCCCACATGAGTCAAGACTCTGTTCTTGGCCACACACGCGCTCCGCACCGCATCAGGCCAGAAGTAGTCGAAACCCGGCTTCAATGAGCAACCCGCGTGCCGCCTCCGTGATCGTCCGGTTTGCTCGCTCGGCGATGCCGTTCATTGCAGGGGAGTATGGCATGGTGAGGGAGTGTCAAATGCCATTCTTCTTCAGCCACAACCCAAACTCCTTGCTCAGGAACTCTCCCCCTCGATCGGTGCGGATCGACTTCACTAGACGGTCTTGTTGCCGCTCCACCATCGGGAACCAATCCGTCTTCAATGTTTCAGCCACGTCGCTCTTCTTGGCCAGCACGTACACCCAAGTCATGCGGGTGTAGACGTCAACAATGGTGAGGAAATACTTAGCTCCAGCAGCTCCAAGCTTCAGGGGGCCCACCACGTCCATCACCACCTCATCAAGTGGTGCCTTAGCCGTTGCCTCCGAGCTCGAGAACGAAAACCGCGTGAACTTGGCTTGTATGCACGTCGGGCAGCCAAGCACCTCATCGGGCTCCGCCTTCACACGTATGCCAGCAACCATCTGGTTCTTCACTAGCTGCTGCAAGATGGGCAGGGCCACATGCCCCATGCGCCGATGCAAAGTCAACCAATCACACTCCCCCGTAGCCGAAGTCGGATTGGAGAATGCCGCGCTCGCAATAGCGCCCCACATGCTCTCTCCGTACTCCTCCTCCGCTGCTGCCTCGGGGTTCTCCTCACCCTTGTGCTGCTCCTTGGCTGCTGCACCACTCTCCTTAGGACCATACAGCTTGCTGGTCCCTCCAGGTTTGCTCTTCTTCAGCTCGTTCTCCTTAGCGCAACCGTTCGCGCCATCGCCGCTACCAAGCGCTTCTCCGTTGGTGCTGACGCTTGCTGCCACTTGCCTCTCCTTAGGCATAGGGACCACAGGGATCTGCCACATCTCGTTGTAGACATCCCTATCCTCATGAAGCACCCAAAGAATCCGGTCACCAATCCTTGCGGTGTAGGTCTTGGCCCCCTTCGAGTTCGTGTCCATGCCGGCCTTCGCCAACCGCCGCACGGAAATCAGGTTTGCAGCAAGGCTGGGCACCCAAAGCACGTTCTTGAGGCCCACCATCTTCCCATCAGCACCCTTGAACATGGCCTTCCCCATGCCTTTTACCTCTGCTCGCTGCCCCAAAGCCGATGTGACATGCTTCACCGATGACAGTTCAAGTTCGGTGAGCAAGTCCGGGCGAGGTGTCATGCTATAGGTAGCGCCACTGTCGATCACCCAATAGTCCAGGGGGTGTAGGGTCACCTTCCCTACAGCTGCTGGCTCCTCAAGGTCTTCATCCTTCTCTGGACCAGCCGGTACTTGCGTCGACACGAAGTAGAATAGGCCCGGGTACCGATCGCCGCTCGGGTCCTTGTCGTTATCTTCGCTCTTCACATTTGCAGCACCGCCACCGCGACCGCCACGGCCTCCACGGCCTCTTCCTCTCCCTCCTCCTGCTCCTTTACCCTCTTGGCCTTGAGCAGGGGTCCATCCTTCAGGGAGTTTGAAGCAATCGCGCCACATATGTCCGCTCTTGCCGCAATAATGACATTCGCCGTCGAATCGACCGCGACCGCGTCCGTAGCTCTTGTCGTCGCTGCCGTAACTGCCGTTCCCGCGGCCTCCACTGAAGTTGCCGCCACCAGATCTTCCTCCCCCTCGTCCTCTGCCTCTTCCTCGGCCATATCCACGGCCGACGCTAGCTGCCCCAGCGCCATCCGCACTCGCCAACTCACGGCGGCGGAAGTCCTCTTGTAGGATCGTGCGCTTCACGCCTTCAAGCGAGAGACGGGGCAGGTCACGGTTCAAATTGATGATGAGCGAGGACCACGACTCGGTGAGTAAGGCCAGCAACTTGGTCTTCTTCTGGAGCTCACTGTAGTTCAAATCAGCTCCCTCTAGCCGCGTCAACAAGTCGAAGAATCTCTGCACCCCGTCTTC